CCACCCCCATTCCCACCCTCCATGTTTTGGTGGAAGTCACTGGAGGGACTGGACATGATTTGTCCATTCAAAATCATTATAAATACATTGCTAATACTGTCAAAATAACCCAAAATGTACATGGACATCATCTACTATGCTCCCAAAACGATTAGCCTTTCATGGCTGACTTAAAAGACCAAGAAATGAGCAGCCAACGTTCTGCTGATGTGCAGTTGTTGTTGTCTCAAACACAATTTGTTCCGACAGGCTTTTCAAAAGATTACTTCTTTAAAGTTCGTTATATATTAATTTGAAATCTGTAAGGGTTAGCTTGACTTACTTTCCCCCCCTAAGTCCATCTCTATGGGTTACTCCCTTCACCTCCTATGCGAAAATTTGTTTCTCTCATAGGCTACACTCAGCTGAAGGGTCAGCCACATCAGAGTAAATCAGTTGCTCGGAATTATTCCAAGTCTAACGTTGACATTTCGACAAGCCAAAATATTAGATCCAGCTGTTTGGAGGATACAATGCACAAACAATAACAAACACATTGTCAAATGAAAAGTTCTTTGACTGTTATTATCTTGGTAGCAGGATTACACATAAACGACGAGTGATTTCCATAAGACTTTATGAAGGGGGTTTGTGTTGAGTAAAAAACAACAACAAAAAAAAAAAAACCTCAGACAAGGAATAAAGGTGTGGCTACATACACTCACACACAAAATTGAAGACCATTTGCATCAGGCACGTTTAGAACAAAATATTGATACTGTGACACGGTAAAATCAGTTAAAATCCCCTAAAACATGTACAATGTATACAACTCACAGTGATGACTGTATTGATTTTTTTTTTTTTTTATAAAATACTATTCTTTTCTCTCACTAATTAATAGAAGGTTGATATTTCAAAAAATTCAATGGACTACTGCTTGATTTTCAAATTTTCCCTTCTTCAATTTATATTGTCGTTATTGTCATACAGATGTGATATTATCGTGGGCACAGTATGGACAGCATGGTGCTTTTTCAACCCCGAGCTTTGGACAAGTGGTGCAGTGACCATCCAAATGCAGCAGGTGGAGCTGTTTCTCCACAATTTAAATTCAACCGACTGCATTTATGCTAACCAGTCACTTGTACATGTGTTGGATGAGACAATTAAACAAAAACATTCACTCTTGAACAAATGGACAATTTAGTGTTTTCATTTAAGAAACGACACATGTTTTTGGAATGTGGAAGGAAGTCAGAGTACTTAGATAAAATCAAAGCAAACATGGGGAGATCAGGCAACCCCCATACAGGAAGACCAGAGCCCAGATTCATTTTAATTACTAATCATTATTATTTATAATAATTTTTCTTTCGACAGTGTCACCTCGTCCACTGCGTCATCTTTGCAGACTGAGTGTTCGCAGCCGAGTGGGCCCCCAGAGACTGCGATCTATCTCAAGTTTACCTCTACCTGCAAGACTGATCACATACCTCAGCGTGATGGACTGATGATGTTAAGATGACCTCGCTTGGCATCTCAGCTATTAAGTACATTTATATTTGTCTGTCTTTTTCTTTTTTTTTTTTTTTTTTTAAACCTAATATATCTCATCTGTACGATATGTCTATTTATAAACTCTGTGATGTGACTTTCTCTCCTTTCTGATTTATTATTATTATTTTAATTTCACAGGAACCCTCAGTGAAGGATAAAAATACTCTTAAGCCCACGGGACTACTTGTGGGAACAGTTTTTTTTTTTAAATGAAAGCGGCTCTATCACTAAAAAAATCAATTTTACTCCTTATATTTATATCTATTCTCATAAAATGAAAGCGACCTTGAGTTTTTTTTTTTTTTTTTTTTTTAGGAGATGTCTTTAAAAAGTTCTAAAAATAGAAACCTGTCAACTTACTGTCTGGGATCTGAGAAAGAAAGAATGAAGAAGTGCCTTTTAGTCCTCTAGGAGTGAACAAAAATAAACCCAAGTATTCCATTAAGTGCTTGAGGAAGGGTCTCATCATTGATTGCTGAGATGAAGATAATTAGTCTTGTTTGCGTTTTAAATGAAGCCAAACACGCTGAAAATAGGGGACGGGATGGAGGGCTTTGTGGGTATGGGTTTGACCACCACGTGAGTATGAATCTTCTGTCCACGCGGCTGTTCTAGTCGCTCGGGCTCGGCCTTGCACCACAGTCCGAGAGCTGGATGGGGCACCACCACGTGACCGTGGAGAATCTGCTGCTGGTGCTGCTGTTGGAACTGGAAAGGGCAGCAGGCGCACACGCTCAAGCCGTGGTGAGAGTTCCGCTCCAATCTCAGCACCTCCTTGACCTTGGCATCCTCATCTTGACCTCCCTTCCGGTGTTCTCGTGTCTCCGACAACGCGCTGTGATTCTTTCTCAGTCCTGAGTGGGAGTGCTCTGTCTTTCTCATCTTGGGTTCCTCCCAAAAAGAGGCCGGGAGCTGGCGTTTCCTCATAGGCACCTGCTCCACAGAGCCCCCCACTTTGTCTGCGCTTGTTTGCACGCAGCCAACGCTGCCGCCACCCTTTTCCGGCCCCTGTGGAAAATGCAGATCCGCAATGGGCTTGGCACACTGAGCAGACCTGAGCGGGTGACATCTTGGCACTCGGGAGTATTTCTGAGAGAAGCGCTTGAGCTGTTTCTGCAGGTACTTCCTGTGGTCCACCGAGCGTCTGCACGGGGCCGACTTATCCAAGGCCGCCTTGATGTCGCTGGACGCCAGGTTTACGAAATTCAGCAACGTTCTCACTTCGCTGTCTGCATTTGCCATTTCATCTAACGCTTTGTATTTATAAGCATTTGTTGTGGAATCAGTCCATGTTAAAAGTGGTAGTCCATCTTGAAAAATCTGCGGGTAGAAAAGGGTCGTGTGGAAACACAATCAATCAAAGGGCACATTCACAACTGTGCGCAATTTAGAGCGCAGGTATCAAACTCAAGGGCTGCGGGCCAGATTTGGCCCGCCACATCATTTTATGAGGCCTGCTTACGCAGATAATGTGCATGTGCTTCATGTTTATTGCTCAAATATGTACCAAAATTGCAAATTGTCTTAACTTTAGTCTTAATTCATTCACTCCCAAAGACGTTTTTAAACGTCTTTTCAGACTTGGTCTAGAATTGGCTGGTACTGATTAATATTGCAAGCATTTTTGCTACCACCCCCCTTACTGAAATAAAATGAACAGTCGTTGAACAATTTTCAGAGACTTTTAATTTCATCCATTAATTTATTGTATATGACGAGATGATTATACGGCTACAGCATGATTTTTTTAAATTAAAACGGCCCTCTGGAAAACCAGCACGCGGAGTACCTGTAGAAAACCTACAACTGCATGGGGAGAATATGTAAATATACCACTGCTGCATACTTTAATCCTCGGATACATTATGAAATAATAGGAAAGGCGGGGCAGCTTTATTTTATCAAACACAAGGCAACTCAATGCGCTTCACACAAGCAAAGACACGACACCTTCAAGCATTGAACAGTTCATAGTAGTAATGCTCACCTCTGCTTTGTGGATGCGGCTCTGTCCTGCAACCTCCAGCCTGCATTTGGGGGGTACTTGACCAAGCTGAATGAATATAAACTGCTTGTAGTTATGGTGCTTCCCTTGAACCAATCAGCGACCTCAGGCCCCTCACAATGGACCACAATCAGCCTGCGAGCGCCCTGCTATCCAATTCTTTTCCATCGCACATTGTTGTCATGGTGATGTAGAGGTTAAAAAAAGAATCGTCACTTTAGCAGCGATGCGTTGTTTACCTTTATGTTGTCTCTCTGATAAGTGCAAAATAACCCCAATACAATATGCAGTATTGAACCACATAGATTGTGCATAACATGTATATATTTAAATAAAGTTGCGTTTAAGTCTCTAAGTTGCGACGGGAAGTGGAGGTGGAGGAGGAGGGGGGGCGATCTAAAGAGTGAATAACCATGGAAAGGGGCTTGAGCGCTCAAGAATCTTGTCTTTCTGTTTGCCCCCTCAATCGAGCCGCACAAAGGCTGAATTACTCATTCAAACCCGGCGGGACAAAGGCAAGGGGAGCTGGATAGCACTCCTGCATTTGTAGTCAAACATTTAGAGACTTAAATCGAGTCGTCATGAAGGAGAAAGAGTGGGACAAAGCCCATAGAATTGCCATCAGCAAACATTTTCCTGTGTCATATTATTGGGGGTCTCCATGGCTCCCCCTGGCCGGCGGACAATAGCACAAGTTTGCACACTCGAACACTGTCACCCTGCCAACGGCCACAAAAAGGGCCCATGCAGGACTGGAGGAGCGGAGGACTGCGTGGTTCTCTGCGGGGAAGGTGGCGGCGGAGGAGGAGGAGGAAAGGTCCACTTGTGAAATGCTAATTGGCCTTCATCCCCCTCATTGATGTGGAGCACTGAAGACAGAGATTTTGTGTGGGACACCTCGGGTTTGACTGTACAGTCTGAAATTCAAAATGAATTCCGGTTTGTGCTATCAAGTATTCACGCAAAGCAAATGACCACAAATGTCCTACCTGTTTCATCATAATATTCGAGTTGCACACCCCCCCATCCCGCCCTCTAAGTACACATCAAGCAAAATGTCATTAAAAACTGAATTCATCTCAGAGGGCGGTCGGTGTACGGAGTATCAAATGACACAGTTTAAAACATAAAACATTAAAAAAAAGAAACCATACATTTTCCAGCGGTTGAAATGCTCCATTGCTTTCTACATTTACCCCCCATGCAAAGTTGGAAGCGGAAGAAATTCCCTTACCCATAATGCACTCAGGCTTACTCCCACTTTCCCAAAACATGCATTTTCAACGTGCAGGGTTGCTTGTTTCGTATGCGCTGCGATTGACTGGCAAACCTCACACCCATGTCAGCGGATGCAAAAGTAGATGGACTTAAATAAAAATATAATAATATGCATTTCGATAAGATAGAGAAGCTAACTTTTTGTAGACTCTCAATGGGAATATTTGCATTTCGAGGTTTTTAACAATTACACTGTAAAATCTTCCTTGGTATACTTAGAAATAAATTTTCCTCAGCTTTGTAAGTTAAATCAAGTTGGGGGTCTCTCGAGCTCGGAAAGTTGACTTTTTCTCAATATTCAACATTTTATACCTTCTAATTTGAATTTGATGCCGTAAGATTAAAAAAATGTACCCGAATTATATATTTAAAGAACTCACATAATCATGTTAAAACACACATTTCTGAATTACTGTAACAAATGTATTCAAATGAAATAATCATTCATGTTACTGAAGCTAATTTTGATTCCATAATTTGTTTCAACTTCAATGAACTTGACAGACCACAAACAATTATTTCATTCATTAAGAAAATACAGCATTTATTTCTTGAGAACATTGAATAGTTTACGATACATAATCGAATAAATGCCCCCCGGTCCAAGTGCCATGTATTTATGATACATCTTCTCCTGTGCTACCACAGTTACGTCAAACACTACCAAAGGAAAGATATCATGTTAATAAAAGCATATGCGCATAATGCAATGCGAGGCTGTTACATCATATCAATACGCTTACAGTTAGTGAGAATGTGCATCTGATCATCTTGTGCCGTGCCTCTGATGCTGGGCAGTTATGTTTGTAAATTTGTTTCGAAACAACAGTTGAATCGCACCTACAGTGTATGATTTTGTTAAATGGTCAAATTATTTGAATCGTGTTTCAGTATGATGCAACACAGTTCTATCCAAAGTTTGTATATTGTTAAACTGCTACATTTCTGACAGTATCAATAAAACAACTCTGGCGTTGGATCGCATAGGTGTCGGCCTACCTAGTGTTGCGTCTGTTCAGTATGGGAACAGTGTATTATTAGAAGTGCAGAGGAACAGGGAGTCTCTGAAGACTGAAAAAAAAATGGACAAAATGAATCACAGACGCGCAAAAATCTCGCAGACAGTCTTAACAGGAAAGTAAAAAGTTGGAAGCAATTCCACAGTTTCTTCCTTTTCTGGTTCTTCGATGTGTCCGTGCTTTATCTGCTGACAGTTTGATTTATTGTCTCTTTCTTTCACATTTGGGTGAGTGTGAGGAGAGTCCCACCAGGTCAATACATGTGCTCCGGCTGGTCTATACCTTTTCAGCCAGCGCATTCTGCTTTGTGTGAGTGAAGCAATGGGACCCCATTGTCCTACACTCGTCTTCTTTTTCTTCTTCGTGCCTTCAGTTCTGTGTAGAGCTGAAAAGGAGCAATTAACAATGGAAGCAATGGGCCTTTTTTTTGTCCACACAAAGTGTTTGAAGTGCAGGAGAATAAGATAGAGGAAGTGGAGTGGCATTTAAAAATCGAAATTGGCTGTGCATGAGAACACGTGACCCCTATAATTTCAAAAATGCAGTTAAGCTAGCCATCCATTCATTATCCAAACGGCTTATCCTCAGGAGGGTCGCGGGCATACTGGAGCCGATCATAGCGGTCTTCGGGCAGTAGGTGGGGTACACCCTAACCTGGTTGCAGGGCATATCTTGACGAAGAACCATTTACACTCACAATCACACTTACGGGCAATTTAGAGTGTTCTATGCAGGTTTTTTGGAGTGTAGAAGAAAACTGGATCACCCAGAAAAAACACACACACACACACAGAGAACATGCAAATTCCATACAGGGAGGCCAAACCCCGAATTCGAACCCACAACCTATGTACCGTGATCCAGATGTGCTAACCAGTCGGTTTAGGAGACATTCAATTGTAAATACTGTGGCTCCATTTCCCTTAAGTGACATTACAGCTAAGTATTCTATTTGAACTTTTCATTAGTAGCCTTTACCCTAAATTTCATTTATCTTGCATTAAATAATTTATGGAAAATCTGAAAGACCCTCAAACAACCCCCCCCCCCCGACCTTCACTACTGTAAAATTTGAAATAAAACACTAATTCATCAAGAGCATAATACACGATAAATTTAAAGTACAAAGCCCAAATGCAAAAAGTTTGAGCTTGTTTATCACGCACGGACATGAAGCAGCCTCAGCATATCTTCCATCTTGCAGCATCCAATGACGAGAGCCACTTTTCTTTGTCACCAGATCGTCATTGCTTAAAAATAGCACTTCATTGATCTCCTGGGAGCAAATCAAGTGTTTTTGCTGCATAAGACGCAACCCAGATAAAGATGTGTAAAAAAAAGAAAAGTTGGCCGAGGCATTCAGCTTATGAGCTTACTAATGGAAATTTGGCCGTAACACTGATAAGAACGAAAAGCTTTTATCAGACGTTTATCGTTTTATGACATTCCATTAAAAATAAATGGACATATCAGAGCTAGGCTGGAAAGACCGAAATGACGGACACTTTCCTGGAAAATGTGAATCTATTGCAATCAACAACAATGGATAACGGTTTGACATTTGACATTAATAGAAAAATCCTTTCCTGCCTTTATTTCATGCCGAAATGTAACAATACACAAAATAAAATTATTTTAAAATGCCATTCTTGTGTACAAGCGCTACACAGTTTGTGTACATTTTACACAAGATTTACCAGTATGTGTTGAATCAAGAATAAATGGTGGGAATAGTGGGATTGGCCATTAGCGAGGACGCTTGATTGGGCTCATATGTCATGGAGAGAATAACTTAATACAGAGGAAAATAAAACATTTCACAAGTCTGACTTGGGAAAGGGAAGCGAGAAAATTTTGATCGTAGTTTTAAACCATAAGTGGTGTCAAACGTGGAAAAGACATTTTTCACTTTCTCTGAAATATTGACGATGGATGCTTTCAGAATCTCAGATTCGTAACACGTAAATTGACATCAACAATTATGATGAGAATATTCTTGAAAACCGTCAAAACGGACCAATTGCCATATTATGTGTTCATGGACGCTGAACGGTGATGATTCGGGTGGCATTGCTGGATTTTAGGCATGTCGTGTGCACTTTTGAGCACAAGATGGCGCTCAACTTCCATGTTGACATTGATCACCGTTGCTTGGCTAAATTTCAAATGATCTTCTTGGCACTGGCGTGTGTGCCCAAATGCAACAACTTGGCAAGGATGCGTTAAAAAAAAAAAAAGCAATTTTATAAGGACGTTTCCTCGTGTGACTTGAAAAAGGGGCAGTGATGTATAGGCTGAGGCTGTTTGTAAGATTAGAAGAAGGAAGGAAACGGGGTGAGGGGGGTAGGTGGGTGGAGGGGGGTGCTTTGATCAATCAATAACGGGACAGACTGAAGGAGAGAATGGACGAGCAGAACCGCTGGGTTGACGCTTTACCCGATCCAAGTACGACATAAAGTCAGTTAAAAAAAAACAAGCTCAATGTCTTGCTCGGTTTCATGTGCAGTGGGACAGCAAATCAGTGTTTTCCACTTTAGAAGTCAGACGCATCCCTGCAGCATCATGAAGCACTTTTACACAGAGGCGATGCACACTGGCCTACTCTAGAACCACTGCAGAGTCCAGATACTTATTGATTATAAGGCCTCTCATCTTGTTTGTGTGGCAGGTGTCACATTGGCCTCTACAAGCAAAAGTTACACATGAAGTCCACGTAGGTGATGTTACACAAATAAAGCCATGCACGTTTTAAAAATACAGAATAATACGCGGTGAGGCTCTCTGCGAGGGGGCTAGTGCTGGCCTGCACTTTGCTTTCTCAATTATCAACTGGCCTTATTAAAAGTGACATGAGCAGAGACTAAGCCAACCTCAATTTCCTTAAAGCTGTTTCCTTTTTTTTTAATTTTTTTTATGTGCACTGTGAATGACCACGCCAAGCCAAAGTGTTAACACTTTTTCATCAAGTAGGTGGTGACATAATGACCACAGGAAAAAATGTGAGTGTGTCAGTGGCAGCACTTACAATGAACACCAAGGTTTGATTCTCACTGCCAGTTAACTGTGAATGTCACGTACGCTACATGGCTGTGGGCAGTAGCATCATTTCGGAACTGTGCCATGAGCAAATCACCGGCAGGCGTTGTTGCGCAACAAGCAAATGACTTCGACGATGGAAAAAGTATTGGAAAACATAGCATTCATGATTGGTAAATACATTCGATTTTCTTTATTTTCATTCCAATTTACGTTTTCATTGCAATGGAATTTGGGTGGTTGACGTTATTTCTAGTGAGCACTCCCACATTGCCGGTAGTAATCTGGACCTCTCTCTGCATCATCTTGACAAGTTTGACTGCTTACTGCTCGATTTATTCTAAAAGGAGTTAGGTAAACAAAAAAAAATGTTTGCGATATTGAAATGTTATTGAAAGTAAAAACAATTACAGATTTTTCTAAAGATTTGGGCAAAACCATGAAGTAGACGCTTTGGTTCTCCAGTTTTATGCCCAGCGCAAGTCTAGCGCAAATGCGGTCTAATTGTGCGCATTGGTGGAGTTTCCTTTGTTTGACTATTTTCGCAGACATGCTCAGTTAGAAACGGGTGTTTGCGCCATTGTGGGTATGAACACAGCCAACTAGCTTCTTGGTCAATGAAATGGTCGACTCTCATGCCCTTTAAAAATCATGGCAAGAGAGGAGCATAGTTTTTGACATTGCGGAAACAGAAAGAGACTTGCTGGAGTCCATGTAAAATACAAAGTACATTTATAGGGAACTGTAAGCAGACCTCCACAGGTGATGGTGCCAAATGAAAACGCCCTCATTGTCCAGAACGCCCAGCATGGCCCGGCACAGTCTGCCAAATTCCCAAACACGCTAAACGAGGATTGCAGCATCACAAAAATCAAGATGCTCCAATTTTTATGCCCAAGCGCACATGCGCAATCTATGAAAATAGAGCCCATTATCTGCGTTAGAGCGGGCCGCATAAAATCATGTGGCAGCCCGGATATGGCCCGGTAAAGTAAGAACACCCATTGCACTTTGACCCAGCATGCGCTGGCATCACCTCTGCCCCCACCCCCAAAAAGCAGTGTGTGCGTGTCTGCATACATGTACGCGGTTTTAAAAAAATAAATCTCTTATGAATATCTTATAAATGTCTTGCAGCTGAATGCGAGGTTACATCAGTGCTGTTTATCCCACCATGCTTCGGGACATTGGAGTGTTCTAAGCAGGCGCACGCAGCACAAGGCAACAAGGCATCCAGTCAGTAGGCGTCTCTCTCCCTCTGTACATCTCTCTCTCTCTCTCTCCACTTGACTTTAATTGGTTTTCGTCATCCTGATGGACTCCAACACACTGTGCACAGGCTCCATTGTTGATTAGTTGATGACTTTCGGCAGAGGGGAACTCATACCTCCTCTGCCCCCCACCCTTACACACACACACACACACACACACACACACACACACACACACACACACACACACACACACACACACACACACACACAGTCAGGATGGGATAATGCTCCCAAGTGTCCAAACCTTATATTTTGGCACACAAAGGAGGCGGAGGAAGGGGGCTGCATCAGTCGAACCCTCGGTTCTGCCCTCCGGACTCGCCCTGCACGCACTACAGATAAGTTCCAAGGAATCCTGCAGCACCATCTCTCCAGATAAGTTCCAAGGAATCCTGCAGCACCATCTCTCTCTCTCTCTCTCTCTCTCTCTTCCTCTTCT